ACGCATTTGTATTTTGATTTCTAATCGATGATAGATGTAAATGTCTGTGAGCCACAGCAACTACTTATCATCGGGGGGAATGTGTGCTCGTTTGTCACCCTTATCCTATAAAAATCTGTTTTATACATTGACGTATTACTACTACGCATACAGAATACAACGCCTTGCATGATTTTGCGCCACACTTTGCGGTACACTGTACCGCAACTGTCTACTGAGAGTCCAACGCCCGCATAGGCGAGTGGTGTTCGTTTCGCATAAATAACAACTTTAAAATGCCTGGTTGTATTCTTAAAGACTGCAGTAAACACTCCAGAATATCAAAAAAAAAGTGATCGTTTAACATTTCATCGGTAAGTAGACATTAAAACGTTTAAAACTCTTTGATTTAAAGTTTTTAGAGTTGTTACAATGCTCACGAGAATCGGGAAAAATTTAAAATCTATGGGAGCAACTTATTGTATACTACGATGAACGATACCTGTAAGCGCAACTAATTTCCTGGCGCTTGTAACGTTCTGGTCGCGAAAAAACTAATGCCTAATGCAAGCTAGCGCTGCATGTTTCAATAGTTTGGTTAGACGACGTAACTATTAGTTAAGCGCTGCAGCGAACTTTAATTCTAACTCTTACCAAAATTAAGCAAACTTTTGGTTCGGGGTGTCTGTTCTATACACTAGTAATATAGTTTGATGGTTTTATATCACAATACGTATTAGAGTTACGCTGCGACTATTCTCTGGTTGTAAGACGAATGTGTCGGTTTGACCTGGAAAGGGCCACGCTCTCAAAGTAATCATGTATAAAATAGAATATTGCTGTCACGTTTCGTGTCACAAGCGTAGAGAACTGAAGTCATTTTTCGTCGCGCAACGCTACACGCATGTTTACGTGCTCGTCGACCCTTACTGCACGCCGTGCGTGTGTCGCGGCAAATAAAACCTTTAGAACTGTCGCCAGAAAGACTGTGTGATACCGCAAGAACTATTTGTATTAATCAGCCAATCGTGCTGAAGATCACCGCATCGCAGCTGTTGAAGTAACGCCGCCGTAAAGTACGCCGCGCCACTCCGCATCCGAATATCGCAGGTGAGCTTATTTGGTCTTGAACATGACATATTTTTCCCTTTCTATTTAAGAGCATCAACTTCACTCATCTGATGGTTGTGGGGTCAACATTTTAAATTGTCAGGCCCCCAATCAGCAGTGAAGTAGAGCTACTGTCGAAGGCGCCCTGAATATTGAGCAAAGCACAAAGAGCTATTTCTTTATCCTCCAGTGCTTTTTCGACCCTGTCCAAAACACTAATTCGGGCTGTTTCCGTAGACTTTCCTCTGCGGTAAGCATTTTGATTGTAATGTATGGGCCTCATATCTATAGCTACATTCCTAATATACTAATAAGCTTTTCCAATGTCTTAAGAAGAAAGGAAGATAAGCTTATAAGTATAAATGACTTAGGTAAAGCGTAATCTTTTCTACCATCCTTAAGTATAAATAGGAGAAGAAAGTAATGTTGAATAGTTAGGAAAAAAAATAACGACATTTTTATGTTCAATTATAATTTATTACACTTTTTTGAACTACGTTACCCTAATTTAAGATTTATTTCATTATAATTGTAATCCTTGTAATAGATGACACTGAGATTCAATTTTGTTTAACAAGGCCCATGTAACTGAAAAACTTTGGTTGAAGGGCATATTCTGAGGTGCCTCAAGAGTTAATTGGGTTTCGACCCGACCCTTGTATGCTACGATCGGCAAAATCTTGAAGGCAAGTATTAACGTATATCAGTTTGATTTAATACGACCAGAGGACTTTTATGGACTTTTATGAGGTTGATATAACAGTAAAATATGATAAGTATTAATTAATAATATTGTTTCCCTCGACGATTTTTACCTAGGCGATACTTTCACACCACTTGTTAATCGTACATGACGTATAAGTGTAGTATTTATACGTGGTAGAAACATTCTGCAGCTTTATTATATTTGTTGCACGTATGGGTCGGCTCGACCGGGTTAAGACCACGCTCTCATAGAATATAAGCGTAAAATAGCAGCCTAATGCTGCTGTGTTTCGTATGGTGAGCGTAGAGAACCGGTGATCCTTTTTACAGGAATCGGGGCAATCCATCTTATTATTCAGGGGTGATAAGGAATCTGCATTTTGATTATTTATTGAACATAATAAAAGATGTCTATAAGCCACAGCATCCACTTACCGTTAGGTAAACTGTGTGCTCGTTCCTTACTACTAAAAATCAAAGATCATTTGATCCTAATATATGACTACTAATACGCTGTTATTTTTTACTAGGTGATAGAACTCCTTTCACACTCTTGACGCCCTCCTTACACCCTCCTGACATCCTCTTCTGTCGCCTAATAGCAGTGCGAGTACCGCTATGTTTCAGTATGCATTCCATCTTGGTGCTCAGTGGTGAAAACGCATTTATAGCCTTCTTTGTTCGATGTTGGATTCAGATGTTCATATACTGCTACAGCTGTATACAATATTAAATTGTCTCTAAAACAAATTAAAAGAATTAGAAATATAACCTGTAGGTATTTGAATTATTTTAGATGATAGATTTAAAAAAAGCAGATAAATGTGTTAGGATCGTGCTAGTTGGAGGTTCAAAGTCTCCGTCCACCCATCTGTGTGATAGGCGTGAGAGCTTATGGATATTATTTATGTATTATATAATGGGTAGCTTCCGCCCGCGGCTTCGCATGCGTGGTGTATTGATGATGAAAAGTAGCCTATGTCCTTCCCCAGGCTTAAGACTATCTAAGATTAGCCATGAAGCATAAATTTACAAAGATAAACAAACGGACAGACAGACAGTTAGAAGTCACTTTCATTTTTATGTCATGTGACGTTTATTATGCATATTATTGAATTTGTTTAATTTATTGAAGAGGATTACCTATTACTTATAACGGTATCAATTCTCGTAAGACGGAAGCAAAAAATTAAAACTGAAAGGATTAGTATAAAGTGCGTAGGTAATTTTTCGATATATTTTAGTTTTGGAAGTTCTACTTAGCTACTGCAATATACTCCTGTAAACTATGACCAACATATTTTAAAAAAGAAGCTAGCTATTGAAAATGTAATTTTTAACCTCTCAGGCCCAAGCTTAAAATGATAACAACGCGCGCTTGCTTCGCGTGGCGCGGCGTTTCTAAAAAGAATCTAACCTTGAATTTGTCGTACATTTATTTTCACTAATAATCATTATAAATTCCTGTTTATTTATTCTATTATACTACTTTTTTTAGTACTTTTAATTCGTTACAAATAGATTTTAATTGTATTTTCGTTGTTAAAATTGTACGTATCCAGTACAGGACAGCATCTTGAATATCGCAATTATTTCTATATATTACTCGAAATTATTTAAGTAAAAAGATAAATTATATTCACGCAAAGACTTTAAATAACAATTTTATAATAAAAAACTATACTAAACACTAATAAAACATTACCAAAATCCAAAAATCAACACAATAACACATCACACGAAATACGCGTACGAAACAAACATAGATTATAAATAAAAAACCATAAACTAACTACTTTTTATTGCATTAGAGGATAGAAAATTTCACATTGAGCCTATAATGCCAAACTTCTTCATAGATAAATAGTCTCTAAATATAAGTTTTATGGGTTAAAGTGCTGTGGGTGGGTGCGATCTCATGAGACCGCTAGGGATTTGACGGAATATGGCCGCGGGCTCATGCGACCGCTCGGGGACTGAGAGGTTAATGGGAACTAGGACTGAGAGGTTAATGGGAACTGAAAACGTTTAAAATTAAAGAGTAAGTATTTGGGTATTATTGGGATGCGTGGTATAAGAACATTGTCACCTTTAGCTTCTCAAGTTAAAATTGTGGCCCTCACAATATTACGCCTCCCTAGTTCAGTGACTCGCAATCTAGTACCGTTGCATAATCTCGGTGCATTTAAGTTGCGCATTAACAAAACGGATATACCTACCTTTAACTCCAGCTTATGGGATGGCATCCCAGACAGCTCCAAAGAGTTTAGAAATTTCACGGGGTAGCTCGTACAGACGTCGGATGACGTGGCTGTGTCGATGGAGTTATACATTGATGTATCGCTGGTTACTTCGTCCAAGATGTTTTATTAATTTTCAAAACTGTTTCATTTCTTGATGCCAGTATAGTTCTTCCGTACAGTTAGTTTTCATCCTGGATGTTTTGTTATAAATTTGGAAAAAAAAGTGAGCAATAAGGGCCTCTTTCGAATCCACAACATGACGAAATTGGTTAGTGAGTAGAACCATACCTTGTTTGTCAGTTTCTATTGAACCTTAACTATCTCGAGCAGTTTCTCATCGTACGCACCCGATTCTATATCGCTGAATAGCTGAACATGTATGTCAGTGGTGAGATGCAGATTTTGAACTCTGGTACATACATATGATAATTTCGGACATGCCTTAATTTCATCTGCCAGGGTGCCTCGCTTGATGACAGGCAAAGTCTGCCTAAATTCCCTAGCCAATACAACTACTCATCCATAAAATAAACTTGTAAAAATTGTGGTTGCAAACCGGCCGCAGGAAATAAAGAACCGATTCGATGGAAAACTTGTATTGTGAAGGTCATATGAAAGCACGTATTGTATTTTCTTATACTTCTCATAAAACGGTGATACTCATCTGTTTTATTAGAGATAAGGTCTCTAAAAGTTTTAACTAGATAGTCTACAGAAGGAATGGATACATTTCCGCCGAACAACACATACCATCTGCTTCCTATTTTCACTTTAGGACTCCAAAATATTTGCAATCTATGCTCATCGCTTCTATTTTTATAAGCTTGTGAGTTTCATAATCAAGAGTCTCGTCATATTCATATGCAGCTTTAATAAGCACTCCCCACTTGTTTCTTGTAAATGTTTGACGTCGTTATACAGCCCTTTTAGCAACAGCTCGTCTGCGAGATTCAGCCGCTTCAAATGTTTTTGTGGCTCATTAGGACGCCATGTAAGACACCTGCTGCTGATGTCGAACTTGTGACTCTTATGTCTCTGCAGCTCGCTGAGATATCAGATACTCAGCGTATTGTTGACGCCAATACTGGGCCTCTTATTGTGTCTCCACAGTCCTTTGAGACGCCAGATACTACGCATGCCGTTGACGTTGAGCTTGAAACTGTTCTGGAATCTCAGCAGCTTTTTGAGATGCCCGATACTCAACGTGTTGCTGACGCTGCTCTTGGGCTTCTTCCGGTGTCTCCGCAGCTCTACGTGCAGCCACACTCACCACTTGTTGAGACGTCTCATTACATCTAGTTATTTTCAGAGATCGGGTTTAATTAGAGCTTTGCGAAATATAAGACTTACGCTTTCGCGGCGTTGTCGTATGTACTAATGAAAAAAAAATTAAATCGGTATTAATTTAAAAACAAAAATATAAAACAATCCCAATAGCTAACTTATACCTAAAACGAACCGTTAAACTTAACCTAACGAAATTCATCATCATCATCGTCATTACAGCCCTTCATAAGTCCACAGTTGGACATAGTCGGGGGGACTGACCCCAAGAAATGCCACAAAGCATGATCCACAGCCAAATGCATCCACCAACTTCCTGCATGTCTTACCAAGTCATCAATTCGTCTCTTAGGGAGGGGGGTCGCCCTACACTACGCCTACCGGTATGAGGCTGTCACTTGAGAAACTTTTTACCCTATCGGTTGTCGGTTCTTCGAGCTATGTAGCCGGCCCATTGCTACTTAAGCTTACTAATCTGTTGAGCAATGTCGGCCACTCTGGTTCTACTGCGCATATTATAATTTTTAAGTTTATCACGCAGATAAACCACGAGCATAGCACTTTCCACAGCTCGCTGAGCAACCTTGAGCGTCCTCATATGACCAGCAGTGAAGGACCACATCTCCGATCCGTAAGGCATCACTGGAAACACGCAATAGTTGTATAATCTAGTATTCAAGTTTTGAAGTATACCTGACGAGAAGATGTGCCGTAATTTCCCGAACGCTGTCCAGCCGAGTTGAATCCGTCAATTGACCTCTCGGTCAAAGTTAGACTTTCCTAGTTGGACTATTTGTCCCAGTAAACATATTTGTCAACAATTTCGAGCTTAGTGCTCCCAACATCTAACGGCGTAGTTGTGACATGGACGTTAAACATGATCTTTGTTTTGTCCATGTTCATCTGAAGACCTATCCGTTGAAAGATACTATTGAGGTCATTGAGCATTTACCTTAGGTCCTCTAGCGATTCTTTCATAAGGACTGTACCACTGGCAAATCAAAGGTGAGTGATGTATACGCCATTGATGTAAAAACCATATCATTTCCAGTCCAGTGGCTTGGTTATGTCTTCGAATGCAGCAGTGAAGAGTTTCGGGAATATGAAGTCACCCTATCTTACACTTCTCTGCAGTAGTTTAGTGTTCTGGTTCTGTACTCGGATAGCCATCGTAGCTCTGCTATAAAAACACTTCAGCACTTCGATATACCAACAGTCAACTTGGCACTGCTGAAATGATTGTCGCACCACCAAAATTTTGACGGAATCAAAGGCTTTCTCATAGTCCACATACGGCAAGCAAAGTGACAGATTGTCCTCTTTGCTCTTCCTTACAATCTACCGCAGAGTATGTATGAGGTCTATGGTACTGATGCCTTTTCGGAAACCGGCTTGTTCGGGAGGCTGAAAGTCGTCGAGTCTTTCTGTGAGATGATTCGTAATGACTTTCGAAAACAGCACGTAGACGCGCCTCAGAAGAGAAATCGGTCTTTAGTTCTTCAAGAGCGCGTTGTCGCTATCGCTGTCGTTTCTTTCACGTCACCGGAGTAGTGCCACCATAGAGGAAGGAAATGAAGAGCTTCTGAAGGACTTTATGTACCAGTGTTCCATCCACTTTCAGAAGCTCGGCTATAATACCATCCTCGCCTGGAACCTTACCGTTTTTAAGGTGCTGGAAAGCCATTCTAATCTCGCTCAGACTGACGTTTGGAATATCATCAAAATAGTATCGGGTAAGACTTGCTCTTGGATCGTTACTCACACTTGCGTGTGGCTTTAAGATTGATGTGTACAGCTGTCAATAGAACCGCTCAATCGCACTTAAAACCTCAGGTGTCCCAAAACGATGCTGCTACACTCAGTCTTCGATTTTGATAGTTGGCAAAGACTTTGGAGCCCTGGTTCCGCTTAATAGTTAAAAAAAGAGTTGTTTTGAATTTTCGTAAGTCTCGACACATGCATTTAGAGATCAGTCTGTTCAGTTGCCCGTACGCTGTCAGATCTGCTGACGACTGCAGCTTCATCTCCCTTCTAACAGCTATGAGATTTAGGGTGTGATCGGAGAGTTTTTGTGTTCTTCTGCGGCGGTTCTTACAGCACTTAGCTCCAACCACATGGACAGTTATCATTCATTTCGTTCACTGCATTGCAATCTTCTAGGCACTGAAAACGGTTTTGTAACTCGAACTGAAAGGATTCGGGTCTTTGGATTAGAACACGAGGGGGACTAAGCGTTGACTTTATTACACGAGATTCTCTAACTTAACGTTTAGGTTCAGTGTGCCTCTAACCATTCGGTGATCGCTGCCAATTTTTACCCTTGCGATTACTAAGATATCAATAAACAGTTGCCTTCTAGTCGTCGTAATGAAGTCAATCTCATTTTTTGTCGGAACATCGGGGCTCGACCAGGTCCACTTTCTGTGGGGCTGCTTTTGCAAGAAAGAGTTCATTATAAAGAGTCCCATTTCTCCATGAAGTCGGTCAGCTGCTAGCCCCTTGGGTTTCTAACCAAATTATCCTAACAAAATTATAATAATCAAATGGAAACAAAAAAGTATACATTTTAGTTCTTAATGTAATACTTACAAATATAACCCAATTAACTAAAACTACAATCATATTATAATCAAATATACAAAAATAAAACAATTCTAATACGACGAAATTAAAATAAAACCAATCTATATTTCTTTTTAAATTATACTTACTAAAATAATGATTATGCCTTCCTACTGTAGTAAATAATAAATCTCTTCGAAAATTGAATTAGGTATAAGAAAAGACGTAAATTGAACATAACTGTCAATGACGTCTGTTAAAGACAAAGTACATCTACATTAAATACTGAAAGCGACAAATGTATCAATTTTGATAAGAATTTGATAAATACTCTAAAATGTGTACAGTAAAAAAGTATCCAGTTTAATTATATTTATGGCTCACCATTTTGGATATAATGGACATGTTGGAGTAACGAACATTCGTCCATCCTCACAAACTTTCGCATTTATAATATAAGTACAATAGGATAGGATCATTATAAGAATTTGTTGTCGAGTTACATTTTTACTGAAATCTTGTGGTATTAGATTCGGAGATGCGTCAAAAATTAATTGGGTTGCGATGAACCTCAGTACGCTTAGACGGTAAAATCCTTTTACCCGTTACCCTTGTCCACTTAGATTCCTTCGATCTGACTTAATTATTATAATTAAGTCAGATCGAAGATAAATATATGCTCTCACGGACTTTTATTTAGAGCTATTTAAGACAAACAATCTCACGGTACATTATCTTCATGTAACTCACATTTTAGGCAGCGCACGCTAGGATAACTCTCAGAGGGCAGGAATTTTTCCGAATTACTTGATACTTATCGTTATATTATGACCAAATTGCACAAAATCTTTAGTAGCCTATGTGTCATTATGATTATAAACTATATTACTGTAAAGTTTCATTTATCCGGTCAGCAGTTTTTGCGTGAAAGAGTAACACGAACATTCATCCATCCTCACAAACTTTCGCGCTTATAATATAAGTAGAATAAGATAGGATCATTATAAAAATTTGTTATCGAGTTACATTTTTACTGAAATCTTGTAGAATAGTATTAGATTCGAAGATGCGTCAAAAATTAATTGGGTTTCGGTGGACCTCAGTACGCTTTAGATGGTAAAATCCTTTTACCCGTTACCCTTGTCCACTTAAATTCATTCGATCTGACCTTTTAGTGTTTTTATCTTATATTATCGGTATAAACTAACTTTTTGGAAGAGGTGTGTGTTATTTACGATATGAAATAGCTTAATTCGAATTTTCAATTACATATTTAATTAGATTGTACAAACCTGAAACAAATCGGACCCTTTTTCTTTGTGTTTGTCAGTCCTTAACAGACTAATTATTCACCGCTGAACATGGGCCTGGACCGCCATTACCATCTCGAACCATTGACACCACAGAAAAATAATTCCTGTCTCCAGCTTGGTTGCTTACATCCCTCATAGTGGTTTTAACGCCATGATGATTTTCTCAAATCATAGTTGCCTCTTGAAGGGATGATATGAAATGATTTCAAGCCACACTACCTTGCGGTAAATTTATATTTGTATAAAAATATTTTACTGATATTTCTTTTCTTTAATGTATTTTGTAGAAGTAACATAATTATTATAATTAAGTCAGTTTTGAAAAAAAATATTGTAAATTTTAATTTTCAGTTGCACACGAGCTAGGGTATTGCATAACATAACAGCTTTTATGTCCTAGTGCTGGGCACTAGCCATCCTTAATATTGTTACTTACGATGGTTGCCTTTACAGGTAAATCATATCGTAAAATTGCAAAATGATTTTTTTGAGGAAGGGGACCAAGTTCGAGTTGTTCGTGTTTTCTAAAACTTAAGGAGAGCGTATCAAAAGTTCACCGCTGCACATAAGCCGTATAAATTGCCTCGTATGAGTAATATTTGCCAAAATTAAGACATTTGAGCGGCGAGTTGACTACTACAGCTTTTAATATTTTTAGTTGTTGTCAGGGAAATGCCGCTGCTTATATCCTGTTTAATTTCCCTCTGTTGCCGTTTATCATGGGGTGGCATAGGGTACGCCACCACTACACGGCTGCCTATACTAAGGGTTGATTTTTCAATCCTCAAATAAAAGTTATACATAGGAAAAAACACAACATAAACAAACTAAAAATTACAGTTGTACGGACAAAATAGTTCAATTATTTCACTTCTATTTTCAGTCAAAATATAGTTTAATTGATGGATAACTTTCTACTGACGAATGAAAATTTGCCCCTAAACTATAATAATTGTTTATTTTGTTACCTGTTATTTGGATCGAAAAGCATTGTCAAATAATATTGATCTCGTAATACAGAAAATATGGAAACTGTTTATGATGGTATCACATGTCATGATTAATTTCTGTAAGACAAACGATAGTGTAGAGTAAGCAGTAAATATGGTTTGCTGCTACGAGGGTAATTAAAGACTTAAG